CAGTAATAGTAATAATATTATTATTATTATTATTATTTAATAATAATAATAATAATAACAATAATAATAATAATAATTATTATTATTATAATAATAATTATAATAATAATAATAATATTAATGATAATAATAATAACAATAGAATAATAATAATAATAATAGTAATAATAAAAATAATAGTAATAATAATAATAATAATAATAATAATGACAATAAGAAAAAAATCTTCTTCTCTCCAAAATGCTCTCAGTGTAGGTTAGTTAACCTACGCAGTGAAGGTGAAAATGGCGATGGGAAGAGGACGAGGATGAGGAAGAGGTCGTAAAACATCAATAATGACAGTTGGTAGCTCAGTTGGAGCTCGGGTGGAAACATTAGAGGTAAATGAACAGCAACAAGCTCAAAATGAAGAACAGAAATCTGAAGAAAGTGCTCCTGTGAGTTCCAAAATAGCTAGGAGATTGAGCTTAAATTCTGTATTGGAAGATGAGGAAGCTTATGAGAACTTAGATCTAAAGCAATTAGACCTGGGAATAAGGTGGAAGGCAATGGAACAGTAACTAAGAAGATGGATGGAAATATTGCAGATGATGAGAGTAATGGAGTTAGGGGAGAAGAACTGAGCAAGGATTACAAGGAACCATGGGTTGATATGTTTAAGAATAACCGTGCAGCTAATAATGGTATGCAGCTAGCATATTTCCCACCACAAATAGTTAATGGAGAAGCAATGGTTCAGCAAGAAGGGAAAGAAGTACAGGATGAATAAGCCAAGTGGAAGTGTGCACTCATAGCTTATGTAGTTGGTGAATGCCCAGGGTATAATGCCATGAACTATACATAATGTGAACTGGTCTAAAGCAGGTAAACCAGATGTATTTTTACATGAAGAAGGGTATTATATAATTAAGTCAAAGAACTTGAATGATATGAATGAGATTCTATATTCTGGGCCATATACTATAAGCAATAGACCTATCATACTGAAACAATGGTGCCCGGATTTTGATTTTGGAAAGGAATTCTTAGCTGAAATACCCCTGTGGGTTAATTTTCCAAAGTTGCCTCTTAATTGTTGGGGAGTAGGTTCACTGAGTAGAATTGCAGGTGCTATTGGTGTGCCTTTATTTGCTGATGAATGTACTACAAAGCAAACAAGAATTTCCTATGCTAGAATGCTTATAGAAGTTAATGTTACTAAAGTTATTCCTCACCAGATTACAGTTATGGATCCAAGTGGAAGAACCTTCTTACAGGAAGTTGTGATGGAGTGGAAGCCTCAGTATTGTGACAAATGCCAAAAGATTGGACATCAATGTCAATCAGTAACACTGGAGGAGATACCAAAGAAGAGAAATCCTTGGAGAAAAGTCACACAGACCTGGCAGTATAAAGGGCCAATTCAATAGCAAGAGAAGAAAGATGATCATATGAAGATGCCCGTAATAGGTGAAAATAATTCACAGAAGGAGAAACAAGAGATAGAGAAAGAAGAGGAGCAGGAACTCAAGCAAACACCTGAGCTCAATTTGAGGCCTCATACTGGAAGCAAGCACTGGAGTTCAGTATATCAAATTCCTATGCTTTCAGCTATACCAGTTAGAAATGGATTTGAGAGTTTAAGGAATAGTAAACTAGCTTCACTGCCTGTTGATAGAGGTGGAGACTTAAAGATTTGCTAATGAAGTGGAGTGTTTGGAATGTGAGGGGTATGAATAAAAGGTATAAGAAGAAGGAGATCAAGCTGATGCTACAACAGAATAAGACTTCCTTAGTAGGGTTAATTGAAACAAGAGTTAAAGAGGTTAATATCAAAGCTACTTTAAAAGCAATAGCTCTAGGATGGAGGATCATACATAATTATAAGGAGGCTGCAAATGGTAGAATATGGATAATATGGGATGAAAGTTGGTATGATATCAAGTTAATAAACAGTTCAGCTCAAATGATTCATTGTCAGATAAATGAAAGGAGCAAAGGATATCAATTTAATCTCACAATGGTATATGGATTTAATATCTTAGAAATGAGGAAAAGCATATGGAATGATATGAAGATGTTGGCTCACAATGTTTCTGATCCATGGCTCAAATAGGAGACTTTAATGTTATTTTATCCCCTCAAGATAGATTAGTTGGAGCTCCTGTTACTTTGAATGAGATAAAGGATTTTGAAGAATGTGTTAAGGACATGAGAATCACTGAAGTACAATGGAAAGGTAATTATTATACTTAGACCAATAAACATATTGGTAATGCCAGAATTGCTAGTAGAATTGATAGAGCTTTTGGGAATGATACTTGGATCGATAAATGGGGCCATGCTGCTATAGAATATGGGAATCCAGGTGTGTCTGATCATAGCCCTATGTATTTGTTACTTCATCAAAGTTATGATCAGATCAGAGTGAGCTTTAAGTTCTTTAATGTTTGGATTGAACATGAATCCTTTATGGAACTGGTGGATAAAATCTGGAAGCAGGAGCATGGAAGTGAAGTAATGAAGGGAATATGGTATAAGTTGAAGGCACTCCAACCAGTCTTGAGGCAATTGAATAGGAAAGAGTTCCAATACATAGGCCAAAAGATTCACAAGACAAGAAGTGAACTTGTAGAACTTCAAGAGCAGATATATAGCCAGGCAAAAGGATGAGCTAGTTACTAAAGAGAAGGAGTTACTAATAAAGTTGGAGAAGTGGTCAATGATAGAAGAAAATTCTTTAAGACAAAAAGCAAGAGCAAGATGGATCACACTGGGAGATGCAAACAACAAGTACTTCAGTTCAGTGATAAAGGAAAGAAACCAAAAGAAGCATATTAGAAGTATATCATCACTAGATGGAAGGTTGTTATATGAACCCCAAGAGATTCGAGAGGAGTTTGTTATGATTTATAAAAGTCTCATGGGATCTTCAGCAGGTAAACTTCCAGCTATAAATGCTCAGGTGATGAAGAGAGGGCCTGTTTTATCAAGGCAGCAAAGACTTCAATTATGTACAGACATAACAGAACATGAGATTTATACAGCATTGCAGTCTATTGGGAATGATAAGGCTCCAGGGGTAGATGGTTATAATGCACTTTTCTTTAAGCATACTTGGAAGATTGTTAAAAAGGATGTTATTGAAGCTATCAAAAACTTCTTCACAACAGGAAAGTTGTTTAAGACTTTCAACTGCACTCTTGTTTCTTTAATTCCAAAGGTTCAAACTCCTAAAACTGTGAAGGAGTATAGGCCTATTTCTTGTTGCACGGTGATTTATAAAATCATTTCAAAGGTAATAACAAGAAGAATGCATGATGTTATGCCTGATGTTATATGTGAGAGTCAAGCTGGATTTATACCAGGGAGAAAGATTGCAGATAACATTATTTCGACTTATGAGTTGGTCAAGACTTATACTAGGAAGAATATTTCTCCTAGAAGCATGCTTAAGATTGATCTACAGAAAGCCTATGATTCAGTTGAGTGGCCTTTCTTAGAAGAAGTAATGCTAGGCTTCGGATTCCCAGAGATGTTTATCCATTGGGTAATGCATTGTGTCAAAACAGTGAATTATACTATGGTTGTTAATGGGAAAACTACTCAAAGATTTGATGCAGCTAAAGGCCTGAGACAAGGAGATCCTATGTCACCTTACTTGTTTTCAAATATCATCCTAAATGCTCTAAGCTGGCCATTACTCACTTATGTTTTGCAGATGATTTACTTCTGTTTTCAAGAGGAGATCTGGAGTCCTTCAAGATACTTCAAAGGTGCTTTTTAGAGTTCTCTCAAGCTTCAGGACTGCAGGCAAATCTCACAAAAAGCTCTATATATTGTGGTGGAGTTCAGATGGAGGTAAGGCAACAAATTATGCAACAGCTTGGTTATACAATGGAAGAGCTACCTTTCAAATACTTGGGAGTGACTCTTTCAACAAAGAAGTTGACTATAATACAGTGGTATCCACTTTTAGACAAGATCATGGAAAGAATCAAATCATAGACAGCAAAAAAAATTGTCTTATGTAGGAAGAACTCAACTGATAAAGACTATTCTGTTTGGAGTACAGTCTTACTGGGCTCAACTTTTTATTATTCCTGCAAAGATAATTAAAGTGATTGAAGGATTATGTAGAATCTACTTATGGTCAGGAGTTGACTATGTTACAAAAAAGGCACTGATATCATGGGAGAAAGTGTGTTGTCCTAAAAGTGAAGGAGGTATAGGGCTGATCAATATGAAAGTGTGGAATAGAGCTGCAGTTGCGAAACTTTGTTGGGATCTAGCTAACAAGCAGGATAAGCTATTTACTATATAAAAGGGTAGAGAGAGTGGAAGAGGAGGAAACATGCAAGCTTGATGATACAAAAAGTAATGAATGCTAAGCAAATGGTGAAACAGGTTCAGCAAATGCAAGGGAAAAGTAAAGGGGTAATCAGGCAACTTTATTGTCACATGAAGGGAGATCAACAAAGGCCAGCATGGACTTGTCTTATGTTCAACAATGCAGCAAGACCAAAAGCTTACTTCACAATGTGGATTATGATGAATCAAAGGCTAATAACAGTGGACAGATTGCTCAGTGGGGAGTTATAGTAGAGAAGACATGTGTGCTATGCAAGAATGATGATGAAAATGCAGAACATCTGTTTATGCAATGTAACTTTGCTAGAAGAATGTGGATAGAGCAACAAGGTAATGTTCCGGTGACATGGGAGCAGTTTAAGAAGTGGTGTATCCTTCATGGAAAAGGGAAGAGCTCAGCATCACAAATGTTCAAGATTATATTGGCTGAAGGTATCTATGGATTGTGGATGGAGAGAAATAGAAGGATCTTTGAGCACAAGAGCAAAAATGAGGATCAAATAGTTAAAGAGATAGCCTATGTAACTATTGCTAGAAATCCTTCTAGAATGAAGGAAATTGTAAGTCAATGGACATTTATGTAATAGTTAGGATTGTAGGTGTGGTCCTTTGGGTTTAATTTTGAGTTTGAAGCATGTTGTGTTAGCTGCTTGGATTGTATTGATTGTTCTTGGTAATTAATAAAATGTAGTTACCAAAAAAAATTAATGATAATAATAATAATAATAATAATAATAATAATAATAATAATAGTAATAGTAATAATAGTAATAATATTAATAATAATAATAATAATAATCAAAATAATAATAATAATAATAATGATAATAACAATAATAATAATAATAATAATGATAATAATAATAATAAAAATAATAGTAACAATAATAACAATAAAAATAATAATAATAATAGTAATAATAATAAAAATAATAATAATAATAACAATAATAATAATAATAGCAATAATAGTAATAATAATAATAATACTTATAATACTAATACTAATAATAATAATAATAATAATAATAAAAATAAAAATAAAAATAACAACAACAACAACAACAACAACAACAAGAATAATAATAATAATAATAATAATAATAATAATATTAATAATAATAATAACAATAATAATAACAATAATAATAATAATAATAATAATAATATAATAA